TTCATACACATTCACACACCGATGCTATGCATCGGGAGCAATTTGGGGTTCAGTATCTTGCTCAAGGATACTTCGACATGTGGCAGGAGGAGCCAGGGATCGAACCAACAACCTTACCATTAGGGTGACCCGCTCTGCCTCTGTGCCTTTACACATCCAGCAGACAGATTTGGAGTGGTGTTTGTGTCCACCTGATGAATGTATGGCCAATATACACTATACCAAGCTTGTCTCTTACCATGTCTGTCTGCTGTTTGGTGTGGAGCCACTAGTGTACAGTGGGTCAGTTTTTTCTCTGAAAAGAGCTATGAAACTATGAGACACTGAGCGTGAACCAAAATAGTAAAGTTGGGGGCTACACAGCTATACAACCTCAACAATTTTCTCTTTGTGCTGTTAACTATCACTTTTTCAACACTGACATAATCATCACAGTCACTAAGTAGTAAATTAGAAGGCTAAAACTAGGGGCTCTATATTTTAAATGGAGCACAGCACAGATTTGTACTGCTGAAATTACATTTTCCTAAGACTAAGACTGAGTAATCACAGTAAGAATATAGGCTAGTTTAAAATCTGACAAACTATTTACCAAAGCCTGGTTGTTTTCTTTTAGTTTTCGTAAAATTTGCCATCAGAATGCAAACCAAAATAATAACACACAAGCATACCTGATAGGACAGAGCCAGGTAACTATGGAGAGCATCTAGATTTCCAATGAATTCAATGAGATTTCCTCCCAGTGTCCTCAGCATGGTGTCGTAGCCTGCTTGCTTACAAAACAGAAAGAAATGTTCTCCAAAAAGCTTAAGAAAAACATCAGCAGGGACATCTGAAACATATAAAAAACATACAGAGCAACACTGTCACAGAACATTATAGATATTATATTCTAAGAGTGCACACCTGTGTATCTTATTACAGCATTGGCAGCAAGCAGATATTAAATTACAGCCTATTCCCAAAAGTATGTACAATTTAGATAATCAGACCCTTGGGAAGAGCTTAGTACAATGTTGACATGCTCTGACTTAACAAATCTTGTTATGTTTTATACAGCTGTGTCCAGGGACCTAGTGTTGCATGTACCAGTCAAATACAATCTATACATGTATGAGTAAATAATTTACTTGTTTAGATACACTTGCTTACACAAGTTTTTTTAAACTGCTGTTGTGTAAACTATTCACCCTATACAAATGTTTATAGCTTACTATACTCTGATGATACAATGTTTTTTCGGTACTGACATTATAAAAAAGGAAAATTAAATGTATGTAAATAAATATACATGCTAGGCAGGATAAATTAAAACTGAATCTAGAACTGCAGTCACATCATGATCATTTCTACACTGTTCAGCAACTGTTATGGAATGTAAGTAACTTTTTTGCATGTATTTTGAATTGTATTCAGTTTTAAGGGCAGATATTGTGCATGTAGTGATATAAAAAACATCTACTGGGTGTAACCTGTTGGATTTCATCAGGGACATTGTTAACACTTGAGTTATCACATGCATGCACAGACATGGTGCAAAATATAATTTACAACAACAACAAACAGCAGACAAACACTGATCAGCCATAACATTATGACCACCTGGGGACCCTTGTAGTCATAATAATATGCAGCCTCATACGCAACAACCACACGGGACAGCCTTCGCTCCCCATGTTGGTCCATGTATGTTCAGCAGTGCAGCCTGCAAAAGGGCTGGGTGAAGGTGACTATAGATGGCGATTATTAAATACTGTATTAAAAAAAAGACTGATTGATTGATTTGATTTAGTGAAACCACTTGTATGATTATAACCTCAGACCATTGGACTGATGCTCATTTCGTAATAATTTGAATATATCTCACCTCTTACATGGTCACATAGTTCAGTAATTAATGTTACATAACAGCGTTTGCAGTGAAATGTGTTGGAAAGGTGTGGAAATTGTGTGTGTAAAGGATAAAACATACAATATTGGCCCGCATTCGCCAGGGTATTAATTATCTCTTGATTACTTAGGACTGCTTTAGATTCCGTGCAGACTCGCTCAGGCAAGGCACTCACTCAGTGCCTTGAGATTTCATTCTATATATATAAACTTTTATTCCATATATTCAAGTTTCATTCCATATATTTAGACTTTTATTCCATATATTCAAACTGTCATTCCATATATTTAACCTTCATATTACATATATAATGATTTCCTAAAGGGCCTAAAGGGCATTCCAATATACATATATAGTTTTTACCTTGCATTCAATGGTCCTTGTGATGGCCTTAGAGTTGGCCTAATTCTGTTCCTCTTTCTTGAAATCAAGTGTTGACGTGTTCTCATGACGAGACAGGCATTTGGGGGTTAGGAAAACATATGGTCATATGTTGCATTAGTTCTTTTCGCCTCGTCTAAAGCGTGATGCTGCTTACATTAAGACTTCCCATAAACCAAATCAGTCGATCAAGCCTGCCCCACTTTGTCCAATCCCTGCAGTAAACAACCCATTTGAACATCTTATCATCAATTATGTTGGTTCTTTGCTTAAGTCAAAATCTGGGTCTGAGTATCTGTTGAAAGTCATATGCCAGGTTAGCCTGCAGCCTATCCATTGCACACTATCACAGCTAAGTATCTAGTTAAAGCCTTGTCTCAGTTTATTGCCATATTTGGAATACCAAATATCATTCAAAGTGATCAAGGGTCAAACTTTTCGTCACATTTGTTCTCACAAGTTCTTAAGCAACTAAACATCAAGCATAACCAAGCATCTGCTTATCATGCACAAAGCATGTCTTTGTTTTGAGCATATTGGACAGAAATGCACAGGGACTAGGAGGAAGGTTTGCCTTGGTTGCGTTTAGCAGCAAGGGAGGTGTGCTAATAGAGTGCTGGCTTCAGTCCAAATTACCTAGTCTTCGGCCACAAGGTACATGGAACTTTGTCAGTGTTTTGGGATGAGTGAATCACTGATGAACCACCTTCAAACTTGATAGATTATGTAAATAGTTACCGACACAGTCACTATATGACAGGTCAATTGGCAAAGTAAAAACTGGAAAAATCTCACTTAAGGAAGAAGCTTTTGTATGACCCCTGCTCTGAGGCTTTGTTGCCGATTGTGGGGTCACCATTCCAACCAAAGTTTATTGGGCAGTGAGTAAAATATCTAAACAAAACTATGATTGCTACTCCAGATCGCACAAAAAGAAACCAACTTTGTCACAAACTTCCTTAGCTTCCGCTTCCATAGAAGGGTGTCTGGTTTTGACTGGTGCAAACAGCATTTAGTGGTGGGGGGCATGGTCATTTTAAGAACTGAGTCGCTTCAAAAGCTTGAGGTTTTGCTGGCTCATTTGCCTGTTGAACTGATTAAAAGCTATTCGTCCTTATTTGGAGATACTCCTTCAAGAACAATTTTGATTGAACATGATGTTGATGATGCTAAACCAATTCGTCAAAGATTCTATTTAGTCTATTTAGAGGAGAAGAGAAAAATTATTGACAGTGAAGTTAAGTACATGCTTGATAATTACATTGCTGTGCCTTCCTCTTCTAGTTGGGCTTCACCATGTTGTTGAGAAATCTGTCCCCAAGATGCTGTACAGATTTGCGAAAAATAAATGGTATTGGTATTTAGATGATGATACCTGGGAGGATCATCCAAGTTGTATTCAAGCTTTGTTTGCAGATGGAAATTTAACCGTAAACTTAGCTTTAAAGCATTTCCATACCAATTGTTGTACTTACTGACCATAATCCACTAACCTTTTTGAACTCTTTGCAGAACCCAAATCAGAGGCTCATGCGGTGGGCTTTGTTTTGCGGCCTTACATCTCGCCATATTAAGGGCAAAGGTAATATTATGCCAGATGCTTTGTCTCGTGCACCTTTGTAAGTCTTAACATGTCTTTTACACTGTCCCCTGCAGCCTCTGTTTCCCTTCCTGTTTGCTCCTAGGCGCCAAGGTTGCTGAGGTTGGAGATGAGTCTGGAGAGGGGAGGAGTATCAATTTGTGTAGAAGGTGTGTTCTGTAGTGAGATAAGCACATTTGATCTGAAATGTAATATTAAAGTTGACCAGTTTGCTTACATAGATAATTGCACTTTGTTAGGTCCAGGGTAGGAACTCTGTCTGTCTTATAGTTTTTCCCCTGCTCCAATTGTCCTTGTGATAGCCATTGTGTTTTACATTCATACATATACACCTCACCTTTCACTCACACAGACATACAGATTTGCTGACAGACATATTAAACTGTATTGATTATTTGCATTTGCTTAATTAAATTGAGTTAATTATTCTCAGACTGTAGTGGTAAATGGTAAATGGACCTGTACTTGTATATTACCTTTCTAGTCTTCTGACCACT